TAAGTGTAGCGGTCAGTAGGTTTCCGGTATTTCAGCCTTTGCACGTTGACGGAAGCAATCTATGTAGAAATCCAGTCTGTTGTTTCGACCGTCCGGAGGTGTCCACGCAGAATCCTTTTTTAGTAGTGCTGGTAGGGGGGATTCTGTGGGTTAGTATGCTGTTCAGAGGTATGTTGGAAATATTCTTTGAGTCGGAGACGTTGAAAGTAGGATTCTAGGTCACCGCAGAACTGTATCATGTTCGTGGGTCTGGAGGGACAAAAGGAGAGGCCCCGAGATAGAACAGACTCTTCTGCTGGGCTAAGAGTATAGCTGGAAAGATTAACAATATTGCTGGGTGGGTTAAGGGAACTACTGTTGTGGCTGCTTGTGGCATGTAGCAGTTTAGATAGTTTAGTGTCCTTTTTCCTTTGTAGAGAGATTTCTACATAGATTGCTTCCATCAACGTGCAAAGGCTGAAATTGTGGAAAAGCAACATCACTTGCCCCATAACCTCAGCCATGCTGAACACAACACCATCTACAGCCTCAGAAACAACCCTGACATCATAATAAAAAAGGCTGACAAAGGAGGTGCTGTCGTCATCATGAATAAATTGGAATATGACCAGGAGGCTGCTAGACAGCTCTCTAACACCACATTCTACAGGCCATTATCCTCTGATCCCACTGAGGATTACCTAAAGAAACTACACCATCTGCTAAAAAAACTCCCTGACAAAGCACAGGAACAAATCTGTACAGACACATGCCTAGAACCCCGACGAGGGATATTCTATTTGCTACCCAAGATCCATAAACCTGGAAATCCTGGAAGCCCCATCATCTCAGGCATTGGCACCCTAACATCAGGCTTGTCTGGTTATGTGGACTCTCTCCTCAGACCCTACACTACCAGCACTCCCAGCTATCTTCGAGACACCACTGACTTCCTGAGGAAACTACAATCCATCGGTGATCTTCCCGAAAACCTTAGTCTCTAAGGTGCCACAAGTACTCCTGTTCTTTTTGCGGATACAGACTAACACGGCTGCTACTCTGAAACCTAACAACGTATTAGATATTCAATTCAATGATTCCATAGAGTTTAAAATCATCAAATTTTGGTGTAGACACATTTAAAAGCCGAACCCCACTCGTTGATGCATCACTTTTTTACCAAAAACATTCGGCTTATGAACAAGTGCATACAGTAGTCATTTTAGTTTATCACTGTATGATGTGTTGGAGCGAGAGGCAATTCATTTTGCTGGAAAACCTGGGTTTGCAGGAAGATTATTGAAAGTCTAGGCCATAGACATCAGTGATGTTTGAATAAAAATATTGAAAACCTGCATGGAGGATCTGACATAGACAAAGATTTGAGACCTCTAGAACTACTCAAGAACAGATCAAGAAAGAAGATAGGGATATGGGAATCCACAGGAATACAGCTGAGCCATGAGAGACTTGGGAGAGGAAGTAAACATCAAAATATTTTATCTGGATGCTTTGACACTTGAGCAAGAAGATAAGTTGAGAGGAAAAATATTATGGGGGTTAGGGAAACATCCCATTCCCCTTTTCTGTTTAATTCCACAATAACTTGGCCTATGACATCTACATTTACTTTACCTTGGTCTTTATGAGATGAGTTTGTTTAGAACTTGTAAGCAACTGCAATATTTTTGGAAAACTGAACGACATTACAATACATCTATTAATCCATTAACCTAAAATCTAAATACAATTAGCATGTCCATTCTTCTTCCCACCTAAAAAGCATCAAGAGAGTCAAGTCGGATTGCAGCAATCACCATAGCTTGGCTTCAGGAGTGGCCAAGCATCCTTTTTCCAGTTCCCGGAGAGATTCTGATTTCAGAAAAGGAAAACAAAAACAAAAACAAAAAGAGAGAGATCTGTGAAAGACCAGGAGTAAAGCCAGTCAGGTGAAATGCATCTGATCACATTTCATAAAAGCAGTTTCTCTGTAATCAATACTCACTGCCACCCAATTGATTGTTTCACCACATAATCAAGATTCTTAATTTGTGCTTATGTACAAGATGATGGGGAAGCTTTAGATTTCATTATTCTCCAAACGGAATATATTGCAGTGTATGAATATTTTCTGCACAGGTTTAAAAACTGAATCCATTTAAACAGTGAATCAATTACAGAGGGAGACAAAACAACAGAAAAAATAGAATAATGAAATTCATTAATTTTTACACTATAATTTTCATTCTACTTTGATGGGAGAAAAAAAAATCATCTACAGTCAAGTTCCATACCATCTTCACCTCTACAATAAGTCAAAGCAAAGCATGTTAGGTCAGTCTCCTGATATAGCACTAGCTACCACGTGGGAAGTGATATTTACGAACACTGATCTTTACGAACATTAACTAATCTTCACAACATTCATGGTGAGGGAGACAAGTATCAACCCCAGCAAAAGATGATCATATTTTAAGACTGATCTTTAGAACTCCTATGCCAAGGAAATGGAGACTTACATGATTCTCATCTAGAAGCCCCTGTCTTAAGTGGGACCTGTAGGCAGTACTGTTATACAAATAAATAATATTTAAAAACATACAGTGTGTATGACAGAGTTCTGGTGTCACTTCTCATTCAGTACCTAC